AAAAAGCAGAGCGAGGGGAATAAGGCAGGAGAGAGAGACAGAGAGACACAGAGACACACACAGAGAGAGAGAGAGAGAGGCTACTTATAAAACCAGTGAAGCTAAAAAAAAGAAACTAAAAGAAAGAGTGAAACACGGCTGTGGTCAGAGCCTGGTCGTCTTTATGAGCGTCTCCACTTCATCCTAATGTAGCTTTTAGATGATGCTAATAGATCACAGGCCATTGTGATCAGACAAGGTAATGGACCTTTGTCACAGGGCTGTGGCTGCAGGGCCAGCACACACACACACACACACACACACACACACACACACGAGCAGTGAACGATGGCCCTAATTAATAACGATTAGTCTCTTCCTCAAACACACACTCACCACACACACAAATGGACCAATAAAAACTCAGGCTTTCAGCAGCGAAACAGTGAAACAGTCTAACACTCTGATCTGTCAACATTACTGTGGGACCAGTGGACAGGGCTGATAGGACAGAGGACAGGGGACAGGGGGCTGGAGCAGGGGACAGGGGAGTAAAGACAGAGGGGACAGAGGGGACGGGGAGAGGAGCTGGAAAAAGTTTAAATACAAAAAAAATGTACAAATATGCATAAATATATAAATATATAAATATATAAATATATAAATATATTTACACAGACAATATATAAACAAAGATATTTATATCAACAATATATGTATATATATATATATATATAAATGTATATCCACACATATATGTGCATAAATACATACAAATATAAACAAATATATGTGTACACATCAAGGCCTGGATCAGACTGAGGCTCTGATGTGGGTCAACCGTTGGCTCCACGACAGGGGGGTCAACAAGGTGACTTCCTGTTCTGACTGTCAGTCATTATCATCACAGCCGTCTGTGACCTGAGCGTCAGAGTCCAGAGGCACACACACACACACACACACACACACACACACACACACTGAGGGGTAATAAGGGGAACATAAATATAATGATTAGTCTTCACTGTGGAAATGACAGTTAAAGGACACGCGGGGCTTCAGGCCGAGCGCGGCGGCTCGCTGCCGCCGCCGCGCCGGGGGTGAATGGGTGTCTTCTGACTCTCTTTGGACAGAATGGGACAGTGGAGGTACAGGAGGAGGAGGAGGAGGAGGAGGAGGAGGAGGAGGAGGAGGAGCAGTTGATGGTGGAGGCCCC